GGTAGTATCGAGGGAAGAGCCAATCGAGGTTGATCAGGAAACAACGAAGCTCGTGGTCGGGATGTCAACAATGATCGAGCTCGAGCACCGTGAAAAAGGCTATAACGGCTAGTTTTTAGAATAGTATAATATATGAAATATTCTAAAGAATATTTTGGCACATGTACTATGTACTATTAGGGTTTTTAGGGAGATGTCCCATATAAAAAGGAAAAAGATAAGGAAAGGGGGCATGGGATATTCACTAGATAAGAACAGACTTCTGATAAAGATTCTCTCTCTTGTAAAAGATATAAAGATTATATTTTTATCAAGATTCTTATTCATATTATTCCACACTTTTCCATCAGATTCAAGAATAGTTCGAACATTCTAGGATTTATCTGTCACTCATTATTGTGAGGAAGAATAATCATCTAGTTCATTCATTATTGGGTGAATCACTTCTCATATTTACTTAAATGTCATTTATTATTATTTATTGCTAGTTACTCCTCCATTATTGCTCATATATTTTGGAATATTTAATGCATGTTATTGTGAGTCTCACACCAGATCTGTTCCACATTATCCACATATTCAGAATTCGCATTTAGAGATATTATCATTAACTAGGCTTAATCCATCATTACATAAATAAATAATTTTAACCGTATACTTCTTGATAAAACAACTTGTGTGATCTTTCGAAAGAGAAGGCCTTTTGAAAGAGAAAAAACACAATATAGAATTTCCCACGAATCTCTAGTATTCGTCAACTACTACAAACAAGAAAGAGTCTCGAGGAAAGTACCAAGAACACCACCTTAACATTGATTGGCCAGAGCCCACAGAATAATGGAATCCACTAGCAAATACTTATCTTTATGGGCAAACATTAAATAATTCAGAATGAGAGTGAAGTTAAAAACACACAGTATTACATTCTTTATATAGGGCAGTGGTGAAGTGAAGATCTCATCGGCATCGCTATGAGCTGAAAAAACTATCCTCTGAAAAATTATATATCCTCTCCATTTACAGATTTAGGTACCCAATTTTAACCAGATGGCAGATGCAGTGGTGAATTTTCTGGTAGAGAACCTGTTGCAGCTATTAACTGATAATGTAAAGCTAATTGGAGGTGCAAAGGGAGAGTTAGAAAATCTGTTGAAAGAAGTTCAACACCTAAAAGGGTTCTTAGACGATGCTGCAAAATTACCAAGCGACAGCGAGCAGTGGAAAGTGTTGGTGGAGGAGATTCAAAAAACGGTACATACCGCAGAGGATGCCGTTGATAAGTTCGTAGTTCAGGCGAAGCTGCACAAAGAGAAAAGTAAAGTGGGAAGAATTTTGGATGTGGGTCATCTCGCTACTGTCAGAAATCTTGCAGCTGAGGTCAAAGGAATTCATGAGCAAGTGAAGGAACTTCGTCAAAACAATCAAGCTCTTCAGGCCCGCCCGACTCTTGAGCTGCCTAAAAAAGGTGCCCCGGAAACAACTGATCAGCAGGTATGCCTAATGATACCCAAAAGTTTTTGATTTTTCGAAATTGTCCTAATCATCTCGGTTTCTGTTCGGTATTAGTAAGATTCAATGAGTTTTCCATTTTCTATTTTAAAAAAGAGTCGCACTGATATTGGACTCTGTCTTCACGGATTTTTGGCCACAGCAGATATAAATGAGATAGTGTAATTAATTTCACTAATAGTTACTGCACTATATTCATGATTTTTCTATTTCTTTAAGTCTTTAAATGGCAAAGTTTCAAAAAGGTTAAACCTAACAAATCAAATTATGCAATAAAATAGATCAGATACAGACATACTAACAAATCAATGCTGCTAGTATTTGAAAATTATCATATGCATAAAGATATAGCAGTAGCATTGATCTGTATGATATCCAATAAGAGAAGATATAAATTACACGAGAGTGGCATGTTTCTCAAGATCACTGGTCGCTGCAACATTTAGTTTCAATAGGACTATAGAAGTATAGCACAATCGGTTTGCGATGGGGACTTTGGGTGTTAATTACCTATAAGCTTGTTGTTGTTCCATCACCTAAATGATAAATGGACCTTGAGCCTAACTTAATGCCAAAAACTAGCTCATGAGGTGAGAATTGCCAAAAACCATATCAAGAGACCTTCCCATCCCTTAATGGCCGATGTGGGACTGAATACCCCATCCCCCTGCACGCCCAGGACGGGACATTTGGAGCATGAACAATATAAGATTTGGGGGGGAGGGGACAACATCGGTAAATGAATTGGGATGGCCCTGACTCTGATACTATAAATAAGACTTTAGGCTTAACTCAACACAGAAATTCGATACGACTATAGATTTATATTGAAATTTACGATTTTAATTATTAGAATAACCTAAAAATCAGTTCGGTTCGATTCAGTTCGATTTGACCGATTTAGTCGGTTTTCAAATAACTGTTGATACCCCTAGCGTCATCTATTCAGATTGTTGACCAATGCATCACAAACAAACAAGTGCTTCTGTGATATGTAGTAGTGATGATGTAAAAACATAAACATTAGCAAAATTATGACAATAAAAGGTAAACTCGATGTAACAAGTATTGATTGATAACACAGAATAATTAAATTGTACTAAATAATATGTTATAATAGATCAAATTATATGATAGTACAAAGAATTTCTATACCATATATAAGCGCGTATATACGTTAAATATCACGAGATTGAAATTGTAATACATGCCCCTTCCTTGTGAAGATTATATATCTACTCTATTTTCTGATGTGATCCCTTTTATTATCTTGAAAAAGGGTCCTGCATTGGAGGATGATGAAGTTGTCGGCTTTGATGAGGAAGCGGACAAAGTAATCAAGCGACTTGTTAAAGAATCAAAGGATCTAGATATTATTCCAGTGGTGGGTATGCCGGGACTTGGAAAAACCACACTAGCAAGAAAAATCTACAATGATCCTCAACTTTCATATGAATTTTTCGGCGTCCATTGGGTTTACGTCGGCCAATCTTACAAAATAAAGGATGTTTTTCTTAATATTCTCAAATTCTTCACAAGACGCACCGAAGATTATCAGCATGAGGATGTGGACGCATTAGCTAAGGTGATAGCCGGTTTTATCAAGAAAGGAGGTAGATGTCTCATTTGCTTAGATGATGTTTGGGAAACAAAAGTCATTGATTATGTAAAGAAAGTTTTCCCAGAAAACGAAAAGGGGCATCGAGTCATGATGACGACGCGTGACAAAGTTTTGGCTACTTATGCCAATCCAGAGCCTCACGATCTGAAATTTTTGACTCCAAAAGAAAGTTTTGAATTGTTGGTAAAGAGAGTTTTTGGCAAGAAAAGTTGTCCTAATGATTTAGTAGGACATGGAGAAAGCATTGCAGGAAAATGTGGTGGAGTACCACTTGCAGTAGTGGTTATTGCAGGAGCATTAAGAGGTCGTCCGAACACAAGTGATTGGATAAGAGTTGAGAGAAATGTGGTTCAGCATCTTTATATGAATAGCGAAGAAAGCTGCTTGAAATTTGTGGAGATGAGTTACGATCATTTGCCCCAAGAAGTACAGACATGCTTCTTGTATTGTGGTGTCTTTCCTCGAGGATTTGATATCCCTTCTTGGAAAGTGATTCGCTTGTGGATAGCGGAGGGGTTGATAAAGCCGCAGGAATCGTATACTCTGGAGGAGATAGCAGAGTTTTATTTGAACGATCTTATCAATAGAAATTTAGTGATATTGCAACAAAAGAGGTCTGATGGTCAAATAAAAACTTGTCGTCTTCACGACATGTTGCATCAGTTCTGCAAAAAGGAGGCTAGTAACAAATGGCTTTTTCAAGAAGTCTGTCTAACTCCTGATCAAACTATTCCTATGGAAGACCCAAATAAATCTCGTCGATTGTGCATTCAACCCTCTAATCTGAAAGACTTTCTCTCCAAAAAACCTTCTGCAGAACATGTTAGATCTTTCTATTGTTTTTCCTCAAAAGAAAAACAAATCAGCGGGTTGACTCCTAATGACATTAAACTCATCCACAAAGCATTTCCGCTTGTCAGGGTTTTGGACGTTGAATCCCTCAAGTTTCTCTTCTCTAAGGATTTTAACCAGTTATTTCATTTGAGATATATTGCTATCTCAGGTGACTTCAATGCCATTCCTTTGACCTTTGGTAAATTTTGGAATTTACAAACTCTTATTCTTAATACGAGTACCTCAGAGTCCACCCTTGATGTAAAAGCAGACATATGGAACATGTTACAGTTGAGGCATCTTCACACCAACATACCTGCAAAATTGCAACCCCCTACTGCGACGACATCAGGTAAAGCTTCTTGTCTACAAACTCTTTGTATGGTTGCACCAGAAAGTTGTGAGAAAGAAGTGCTCGCAAAGGCTTGTCATCTGAAAAAATTGAGCATTCGAGGACAAATGGCAGCTTTTCTTGGTGCTTACAAGGGTGGAATCAACAATCTTGAAGAGCTAAAGTGCTTGGAACAATTGAAATTGTTGAATGATGTTCTTTACATGAATAAAGCGCCCCACCTCCCTCCAACATTCTCCCAACTTGTACGTACTGTGAAGAAGTTAACTTTGACAAATACAAGGTTTGCTTGGAGTGAGGCAGATAAATTGGGGCAATTGGAATCCCTTGAGATCCTAAAGTTTAAAGAAAACGCATTCGCCGGTGATTCCTGGAAGCCAAAGATGGGATTTAGTGCACTCCGGGTTTTGTGGATTGAAAGGGCAGAATTTGAAACTTGGGAGGCTTCGGAGCATAACTTCCCCGTTCTTAGGAACCTTGTTCTTATGTCTTGTGATAAGCTCGACGCTGTGCCATTTGAGCTGGCTAATATATCTAACCTTCACGAGATGCGGTTGGAAAACACAAGCAAAGCGGTCAAATCTGCAACAGATATACTGGAAAGCAAGACATCTAAAAGCATCAAATTCATCCTTACCATATTCCCTCCTGAAGCTGGATCCAAGCCCACGCAGTGAACTGAAAGGTCAGTCGAATTTATTTGTATTGATAGTCTTCGCTAAACTCTTGTCTGCACGACTATATTCTTTTTCAGCTGGCATACATTATCCATGAAATTTCATAGTTCCCCTTACTTTCTGAATTACACTCTGCTCATGATTCGACCAAGATTCAGATTAGAAAATACCCTTCGTTTTATTCTAATATAAATTAATCTCTTTCATAGTATACGAGTATATGGGTTATTGTGAATGATTATTAATAGTTTCTTCAAAACCTCTCTGCAACAGTTTTCTTTTCTTTGTTTCCCTTTTTTTCATTTACTAATTTTGCTCCTTTTTACAGGAGAGAATGGAGACATTGAGGTTGTTGGAAATCTGGGATCATGGATATGGTGCGACTCATGTTTTCTGATAAGATTGTACCAATAAAGAAAGCCTTTTGTTTATACAAGCATTGTCATTTTTGAAATAAATGACATATGTTTAAATAAATGCACCCCGCTCTCGGCTTGAAACAAACACCCTTCCTGGGATTCTTGCAGTTCGAGTTACGCATCATGTGGAGTATTTTCTTTCTCAGTTGTAAAACTACTGTTTGCATGTTTCCAATTCTGTTTCCGTTGTATTTGGTTTGTTTCATTTTTGTAAGACTGTTGCTTTCATCTATCATTGTTCTGTTGAAAGACAAATGTCATTCCATTCCAAGCAAATAAAGTGTTGTGTGTTTTATTACAAACTTGGAATCTTTCAAGTTCAGATTATGCATCCATAGGTTGCCAAAATGAGTTTAACTATGTACTGAAAGTGTCATAGATTTTTTACAGTATTAGATTACCTAAAAGGTAATTACAGGTAATTTTTGCTCATAAAAAGTAGGATTAGTAACTTAAGAAATAAGGCATATTACCTGCTTGGCTCAACAGATGAATGAAGTGCAAAAACACATGACCACGTCAAAGAGCATTCTATTTGTTTAAGAAGCGATGTCACCCTGAATCCCCCCTGCAGAAAGGAGGAAAATAAGAAAAAGAAGAAAGAGATTTTTACACTCTGTCACCTGATCCAAACTTACAAATAAAATGAGCCACGTTTTTCAGCCCTTATCCGAATTTGCCCATATTGTATAATATAATTTCAAAGTTAGGTCACTTTCCCCTATTTTCCTTCTTGCCCCCTCCTGATCGTTAATTGACAAACTCGATTTATTGTTGGTGTTTGGAGCTTAAATCATAGTTAGAGTACTGATTTTGTAAGATTGGGTTGAAAATTCAATTAGAAAGATTATCGACCTTTGCTAAAAAAGCTTGAAGAAGTAGAATTTAATATTTGTGAGAAATTTGGAGAGGATCTTGTTTATGCTTGTTGGAAATAGTCCAAGGAAGTTGTTCTACAAAATTTAAAATCATTTGGTGGAGATTTGGAGTAAGTTTGAACAAGAACTGCAATTGAACAATAATTGCAGAAAAGTTTGTCTCTATAGCTCACCACATGTTATACACTTTTATATATTTTTATATGGGGGTTGATGTATATGGGTATATAACTAATAATAATAATAATAATAATAATAATAATAATGTATAAAAGTATATAAATACTGTTGCAAAAAACAATGCAGGCAGTGCCGATATAAACTGAAAAATATGGCTACGTGGATACAATATATGTTGTGTTGGGCAGTATATATTGTAAACGGCAAAGGGCCAAATATATCCTTTTATTTTTGAAAATGGTCTAAAAATACCCCTCGTTATACTATTGGATTATCTATACCCCTGCATCATACTTTGGGTTCAAATATACCCCTCATTTAAACGGAGGGACACGTGTCATCGTCCTGTTGATCAATTTTAAATATCTCCTAATTAATTAAAAAGACCCATTACTAAAAACTGGAAAAAACGAATTTTTTTTTTACTAAAAATTGAAAAAAACGAATTTTTTTTTCCAATTTTTATAAAAAAACTGCTTTAAAAAAACTGAAAAATAATTTTCTAAAGAAATTAAAAACTGAAATAATTTTAACTAAAAACTGGAAAAAAAAATTGTTTTTTCAGTTTTTATAAAAATATTGCTTTAGAAAATTGCTTTGTAGTTTTTTTTCAGTTTTTACAAAAATATTATTTTAAAAAATATTTTTCAGCTTTTTTTAAAGCAGTGTTTTTTTGTAAAAACTGGAAAAAAAATATTTTCCTTTTTTTCAGTTTTTAGTGAAAAAAAAAAATCAGTTTTTTCAGTTTTTACAAAAAAAAAATTGCTTTAGAAAATTGATTTTCAACTCTTTTTTTTTCCAGTTTTTACAAAAATATTGTTTTAAAAAATATTTTTCAGTTTTTTCTAAAGCAGTTTTTTTGTAAAAACTGCAAAGAAAATATTTTCTTTTTTTTCAGTTTTTATTAAAAATAATTTCAGTTTTTTCCATTTTTATAAAAAAAAAAATTGCTTTAAAAAACTATTTTTCGGGTATGGGTAATGAGTTTTTTTAATTAATTAGGAGATATTTAGAATTGACCAACAGGACGATGACACATGTCCCTCCGTTTAAATGAGGGGTACATTTGAACCCAAAGTATGACCGTAGGAGTATAGATAACCCAATAATATAACGAGGGATATTTTTAGACCATTTTCGAAAATAGATGGGTATATTTGGCTCCGTATTTTAAAACTCCTGAAAGAAAAATAAGAGAAAAGTGTTGCAGATAGGTTTATTTGCTAACAAATCTATTTGTGCTCTGGAAAGATACCACTAAATCATTCACATATATTCTTAAAAGTCAATGCAAGTAGATCGAACCATATGTTTAACAAATCAACACAATACACCGGTAATTATCCTTTAATTGGCTTAATTGTGTTGAAAAAACTGTTATACTATCAGTATAAAAGTTAAAACTCATTTTGGAAACATATGGATTCAATAAAGAAGAAAGTCAATATCCTGATCCCTCCCGCAGAAAGGAGGAAAATTAGTAAATGAAAAAACCAGAAAGCAAAGAGAGGAAAACTGTTGCAGTGATGTTACGAAAGAAACCACTAAATCATTCACAGCAATCCATATGTGGTATACTATCAAAGAATTCATGATACACGTTAACAAAATTAAGAAAAGAATTAAGTATCCTACAGAGCAAAATTAAGAGAACTACTCTCGAACAGATCACTTAGAAGAGAGTTGAGTCTAAGAGTTCAGAAGAAGAGGAAGAGATTTTTCATTGAAATCAATGACAACTGAACGGAGTATTACAAATGTTAGGTTCGGGAACCGGGTAGTGCGGAATTTAGCCAAACAACGATATAATGACAATAACAAAGACAATGGTAGTTGATAACGGCAACTAAAGCATATAAAGAAGACACAAATTTAACGTGGTTCGGTCAAAGTGACCTACGTCCACAAGTGGAGATGAGCAATTTCACTATTCCAATAAGAATACAAAAGAGAGTACAAAATTAGAGTAAATACTCAAATCAATCTCAAATACCCTCACAAAATCACTCCAAAGAAAGGGTTCGCACAAGTACTTCTCAACACTTAACTCTCATACAAAATACTCTTAATAAAAGGAGGAAAGGAAAAAATAAGAAATGAAGACTCAAGTCTTGTTGGTGTGCATAAAATGAACTAATGGCCTTCCCTTTTATAGGCAAAAAAGTCTTGGTCTCTTAGGTGTAAAAGAAGAGATACAACTTGTGCAAATGATGTCCACCACATAATGCAATATTTTTTGGGTCCCAAAGAATATTGCCAACAAAATCTATACTTTGCAAAGATGATTATGCTTATGTGAGATGGACTCCATTAGCCAAAATATTGGTCATATTACAAATCTCCACCTTGGCCTAGTTTTGGCTGATATAATAAATTTACTCCACCCTCTCCGCAAAAGTCCCAATGGGCATATGTCAAAATTGAATGCCATCAAAATCAGACAAGTTGTCTGATACCGAAACTGTAGTAGGGCCTATAACAGTGGATCCCAATAAAGTATACAACGAACCAGATCTATGTGCTTTCATGATTACAAGAGCACCATGAGAAACTTTCAGAACCCCACCTTCACCTGCATACTTGCACCCAAGAGATTCTAGAGTGCCCAAAAAGATGAGATTTTTTTTCAAGTCAGGAACATGTCTGACATCGGTGAGAATTATCACCACACCATCGTGCATTTTGATTCGAACTGTACCTTTTCCAAAAACTTTGCAGGCTGCATTATTGCCCATCAAGACAACTCCACCTCCAATAGATTCATATGTGGTAAATAAATCCCGATTGTGACACATATGATAAGAACAAATCGAATCTAAAATCCACTTATTGTTAGAGTTGAAACTATTATTAGTTGCTAAAAAAACAGTTCCCTCAGTCTAATCAGCAGCTACACTTGCTTCGGCAGTGTCAGTAATTTTGTGCTCATTTTCCCTTTCCTTATGCTTTTCTTTATATTTCAGCTTATAGCATTCAGAGATAATGTGACCTTTCTTATGACAATAGGGACACTCTAAATTATTGTATCTAGATATAGAGTCGGATTTGCCCCTAACAAACAAGCCAACTTCCGCTTGAGTTCCACTAGCTTCCCAAGTAATATCACTATATATCTGTTCTTTTGATTTTAAGATAGATTTAATATTCTTATAAGAGATATTATCCTTTACATAAAGCATAGTATCTCTTATATGCTTGAAAGATGGGGGTAGAGAAAAAGCAATAACATGGCTTGATCCTCATCTTTAATTTCAGCATCTATATTACTCAAATCCATAAGAATGGAATCAAAGGTGTCAAGATGAGAGAGAATAGAGGTACCTTCACCCATACCAATTGTATAAAGCTTCTGCTTCAGGTAAAGTCTATTTTCCACCGTCCTCTTCATATATAAGGTTTTTAATTTTTTCCACATGCCTTTGGTTGTGGTTTCTACAGAAACTTCACGTAAAACCTCATTTGAGAGATTTAAAATGATACCTGCTTTTGCCCTTTTGTCTATGATGGCAAACTCCTCGTCCGTTATTTTATCCGACTTCTTCTCCTTTTCTTGCAACGCCAAGTCTAAGCCATCTTGAATTAGGATAAATTACATCTTTAATTGCCACATTCTGAAGTTTGCACTTCGGTCAAATTTCTCAACATAGGTCTTTGTTAGAGACATTTTGACTATTGAAACTAACCCGGTTAGATCCGGCTCTGATACCAATTTGTTAGGATCGGAAATTCGGGTAGTGCGAAATTTAGCCAAACAACTATATAATGACAACAACAAAGATAATGAAAGTTGATAACGACAACTAAAGCATATAAAAAAGACACAAATTTAACGTGGTTCGGTCAAAGTGACCTACGTCCACAAGCGGAGAAGAGCAATTTCACTATTTCAATAAAAGTACAAAAGAGAGTACAAAATTAGAGAAAATACTCAAATTAATCCCAAATACCCCAATAGAATAACCTCACAAAATCACTCCGAAGAAAGAGTTCACACAAGTGCTTCTCAACACTTAACTCTCATACAAAACACTCTTAATAAAAGGAGGAAAGGAAGAAACAAGAAATGAAGACTCAAGTCTTGTTGGTGTATATAAAATGAACTAATGGCATTCCCTTTTATAGGCAAAAAAGTCTAGGCCTCTTAGGTGTAAAAGAAGAGATACAATTTGTGCAAATGATGTCCACCACATAATGCAATATTTTTGGGTCCCAAAGAATATTGCCAACAAAATCTACATTTTGTAAAGATACTTATGCTTATGTGAGATGGACTCTATTAGCCAAAATATTGGTCATATTACAAATCTCCACCTTGGCCTAATTTTGGCTGATATAATAAATTTGCTCCACCCTCTCCGCAAAAACACCAATGGGCATATGTCAAAATTGAATGCCATCAAAATCAGACAAGTTGTGTGATACCGAAACTGTAGTAGGGCCTATAACAGTGGATCCCAATAAAGTATACAACGAACCAGATCTGTGTGCTTTCATGATCACAAGAGCACCATGAGAAACTTTCAGAACTCCACCTTCACCTGCGTACTTGCACCCAAGAGATTCTAGAGTGCCCAAAAAGATGAGATTTTTCTTCAAGTCAGGAATATGTCTGACATCGGTGAGAATTATCACCACACCATCGTCCATTTTGATTCGAACTGTACCTTTTTCAAAAACTTTGTAGGCATCATTGTTGCCCATCAAGACAACTCCACCTCCAATAGATTCATATGTGATAAATAAATCCCGATTAGGACACATATGATAAGAACAAACCGAATCTAAAATTCACTCATTGTTAGAGTTGAAACTATTATTAGTTGCTAAAAAAACAGTTCCCTCAGTCTCATCAGCAGCTACACTTGCTACGGCAGTGTCAGTATTTTTGTGCTCATTTTCCCTTTCCTTATGCTTTTCTTTATTTTTTAACTTATAGCATTCAGAGATAATGTGACCTTTCTTATGACAA